AAGATAAAGGTCTGGGGGACCTTATGGGTAGAGAACTTACAAAAGTCTTACCCCTTTCCTGTCGGGATTATTTTATTGCTTTGTACAATGTAGCTGTTTTTTTCCTGGAGGCATCTGTCTGCTCAGCCCTTTGTTTTCCCTGCCCGCCTCCCCAGTCCGCGCCCCCCCCCCGCCCCACGGGTGTCAACGGTCGTTAAGGCAGGCACCTCGTAGATGGATTCCTCCCCCATTGTCTCTTCTCTTTCCGAACCCCGAACCTGGAGTTTCGCCCCTTTTTGCTGAGGCTCAGTTGATTTGGAGTTGTCATGGCAACATTTTAGCAACTGTGTTGCTCTACAGGAAGGCTTGGTGAATAAAATTGTAGCAGCTTGAAGATGATACACTTGGGCTTTAGGGTCTTTAATGAATGACATAAAGCTGGACTCCCCAAAACAAGAGCCCTGTCAGTAGAAAGGGGCCCGAGGGCCAAGTCTGGTCTTTATGGTTCCGGAGGTTTTTCCAATGGGTTTCAGGTTTCCCTTTCCTAGATTTGAGGACGGGAATTTTTCGGCGTAGAGTATGTGCCTGAGAGGCTGGAAGAAGCGTCAGCATCCATGGCCCTGTGTTTTTTTTTTTCTTTTCTGGCGGTACACGGGCCTCTCACTGTTGTGGCCTCTTCCGTTGCGGACCACAGGCTCCGGACGCGCAGGCCCAGCGGCCATGGCTCACGGGCCCAGCCGCTCCGCGGCATGTGGGATCCTCCCGGACCGGGGCACGAACCCGTGTCCCCTGCATGGGCAGGCGGACTCTCAACCACTGCGCCACCAGGGAAGCCCGGCCCTGTGTTTTTTGATAGCTGTGGTCTAAACATGGCCCTTCCTAATCCTCATGTCATGGCAGATCGTAATAGCTTTAATAATAATCCATCCAGAAATACGTTGTTTCTCAGTCTTGCAGTATAATTATTCCCTCTCCATCAGGAGATGGAGTGATAATTGGAGAGACGCGGAGCACTATTTGTAGAGTTGCTTTTTCAATCACTGTAGCCAGCCCTCAGTATCAGAATGGAGAAAGCTGATTGTCGCCTGCAGATGACTGGTTTATGTTCCTGGATGTGTCTTCAGGGAGCCTAGGTTCTAGAAACAGGGGAGCTTTCAGTTTCCTAGACTCACTAGACTCCCTGATTCCTACCAGGACTTAGCACTCAGGCCTGTGAGGCAGGAGATACGAAGACTTCCAAAGAAGGACCAATTCCTCGGATGTGCCCCCTCACAGAGAGATGAAGGGGTGAGTGAAGAAGAGGTAGGGTCTGGGATGGGAGATGGGAGGCCTGGGAGAACGCAAAATGGCTAAGAGCACTGGCTCTGGAGTCGGGCAGACCTAGATTTAGGTCCCAGCTACATCACCCTGCTGTGTGATCTGGTTTCCAGTTTATAAAATGCAAGTAGTGCTACCTACTCATAGTGCTGTTCTTAGTATTGAGTAAGATATTGCCTGTTAAGTGCTTAGCTCAGTGCTAAGTAAATACTAGCTCTTGTTATTCTAACCTAACCTAGCACCTGTTGGGAATGCCAGTGAGTTTGGGAGCCATATGTTACTGGGCCAGTGAGCTTTTAATTCACTTCTTCCCTTATTCTTCCTCTTGTCCCTTCACAAACAGGCAGCAGAAAACAGCTGAAACGGAAGAGGGGACAGTGCAGATTCAGGAAGGTGAGTGGGAGAAACGGAACTGAGCTGAGACCAAGAGCCCATCGTGGCCTCTCCCCCTACCCCATGGGCCTATCACCTGTGCAAGCTACTTCTTTTAAATGACATGCAAGTGCAACAGAGGGAGAAAAGCAGTAACTCACAGACTTGTCCTTTTCCTAATTCAGGTGCAGTGGCAACTGGGGAGGACCCAACCAGTGTGGCTATCGCCAGCATCCAGTCAGCTGCCACTTTCCCTGACCCCAACGTCAAGTACGTCTTCCGAACTGAAAATGGGGGCCAGGTAAGGGAGGGGGCCAGGTGGCTGCAGGTGTTACCTGGGGTTGGGATTGAGGGAGGTAATTGAACCTGTCATGGGTAGAACCTGGTTTGGAGGATGAGGTGAAGATGTGGACTGTTTGGGGGGAAGGGGATGGGGGTCTCTGAAGGATTCTCGTTTGGGGGCCCTAACCAAGAGAAGCTTTATGAGGGACGCTGGAATCCCTAGCACTTACTCTCTTGTTCCCTCTTCCCCTCCTTCCCCTTTCCTCCCTGCCTCTAGGTGATGTACAGGGTGATCCAGGTGTCTGAGGGGCAGCTGGATGGCCAGACTGAGGGGACTGGCGCCATCAGTGGCTACCCTGCCACTCAATCCATGACCCAGGTACAGGGGTATGGGCTGCAGAGGGGACTAGAGCTCTGAGTAGTAACATGAAGAAGGGAACCAATAGGATAGGTGTGGCTAGGGATAGGGAAGCATCTAGGGCTGCCTTGACCCAAAGCACTAGACTCTCCCTTTCTGGATGTTTCTCCCTCCCTCCTCCCAAGGGATAGAAGCTGCAGAGTAGCTCATGGGAAGTATTTAACTGTCACTTGTCTCTGTTCTCTTGCTCCCCTTCCCAGGCTGTGATCCAGGGTGCGTTCACGAGTGATGATGCAGTTGACACAGAAGGGACAGCTGCTGAGACGCACTATACTTACTTCCCCAGCACTGCAGTGGGAGATGGGGCAGGGGGTACCACATCGGGGAGTACAGCAGCTGTTGTTACCACCCAGGGCTCAGAGGCACTACTGGGGCAGGCGACCCCTCCTGGCACTGGTGAGATATTATGTGAGGATGCTGGCTGGAGGGGCTAGGATAGGCTGTGGGACATGGCTGGTGGGCAGTGGGCCTTTACTCGTGATCCCTTAAGTGATCACAAAGACGTGGGCAGGCAGTGAGTCTGGGGCTGCCCTTCCAGCAGGAGGCAGTATGTCCTTTTTAGAGGAGGGTCCCAAGGCCTTGGCCTTAGCGCTTGGTGAGGTTCCTAGGCCTATGTCCTGACAGAACCTACCGTGCATCTTCATAGGTCAGTTCTTTGTGATGATGTCACCACAAGAAGTGTTGCAAGGAGGAAGCCAGCGCTCTATTGCCCCCAGGACCCACCCTTATTCCCCGTGAGTAACCCGGTTTCTTTTCAGTTACCAGAAATGGTCTTGATTCCTTCCAGATTTGGTGTAATTCCTCACCCCAAACTCCAATCTCATTTTTTGACCCTCCCTTCACTCTGGCCACTCTGGGCTCTGTTGCTAGGAAGTCAGAAGCTCCCCGGACAACTCGGGATGAGAAACGCAGGGCTCAGCATAATGAAGGTAGGTATGATCTGCATCTGAAGCTTGGAGCTCTCTGGTGGGATTGGGGGATAGCTGTGATGTTGAGGGGAGAGGTTAGGTAATTTTACCCTGGGGCCTTTGGTGAGTTCTCCCTGAGTCACCTTGTCCTCTACTTTGCCCCACAGTGGAGCGCCGCCGCCGAGACAAGATTAACAACTGGATTGTACAGCTGTCCAAGATCATCCCAGACTGCTCCATGGAGAGCACCAAGTCTGGCCAGGTCATGGAAAGACCCTGGTAGTGGGCAAGATGCCTGAATTCTGTCTCCTGGTATTGTTTCCAGAAATGGTAGAGAGTGGGCACACATGGCAGTAGTCTTTTCCTATCTCTCTCTGAAGTTCCTGAATCCCTGGGAGATGTTATTTCACCATCCTTAAGGGAAAATGAGGTCCAAAATGTAAACATGCTTTTGGAAAGCAAGCCAGGTATCTTATGTCCTAGTCCTCATTTTGTTGGCTTTTTCTTACAGAGTAAAGGTGGAATTCTATCCAAAGCCTGTGATTATATCCAGGAACTTCGGCAGAGTAACCACAGGTTGTCTGAAGAACTGCAGGGGCTTGACCAGCTGCAGTTGGACAATGATGTGCTTCGACAGCAGGTCAGACCCCCGCACCCTCAGTATAGCTGTCCTCAGCCTCCCTAACCACTAACCCAGCTTGGGCCTCCTCCTCACTGGTGGGTGTCCCGGTAAGTTCAGGGACTTGGCTGTGCCAACTTTTCTACCTATTTCCCTTACTGCCTCCTTCCCGTGGTAGGTGGAAGATCTTAAAAACAAGAATCTGCTGCTACGAGCTCAGTTGAGGCACCACGGGGTCGAGGTCGTCATCAAGAGTGATAGCAACTAATTCTGGGGATCCAGAGGCTTTGGGCCCTACAGCCCCTTTCAGAGAACTGCAGATAGCCCAGGAGCAACAGGCTAACCCCATGCCCTTTCCTTCACTGCCCACTTCTGGCATGGGACTGGGGGGAGTTCAGAAGGCGTGTCTTTGAACTGAGGCCCTGTGATATAGCAGCCTGCAGTGGTGTGAAACACACACGTGGATGTGTACTGACCTCCTCGCCCAACCCCACCGTGCAGCCCCTGGGCCCTTGTGCTCCTCTTGCACAATGCATGTGCTGTCTCCATGCTGGACACTGGACACACTGAACTGGGGGGCTTGCCCTGTGCTTGCTTAGAGTGCCAGCAGAGGGTCTGCTGACAAGCAAAGCTCTGGCTTGCCCCAGGACACTGGCGCTTCCACTGGTTCTTCCTTTCCCTGGAGCTCAGATGTGCACCTGAGGACTCTGGGGAACAGGCTTCAGCAAGAAGTGGGGAAAGGATGCTTAGCAGTGGCTGCTGCCCCAGGAAGAGGAGATTGACCGGCAAGCAGCTAAGGCCTATGCAGAAGTCTCTGAAGCCAGGGAGAACAACAGGCAGGGCCCACTGGGGGCCTTACCCCCTTGTGGGGACGTTTCCCCCCCCCTTTTCTTTCTTTCCTTTTTTTTTTTTAAGATAAAATATTAAGAGCCACAACTGTCTCCGTTTTTTCTCCTTTTGCGGGCCCCAGGGCGGGAGGGCGGGGGCACATTGTGCTTTGACCAGTAAGGGTTGGGCCAAGGTTAGGGTGGGGTGCTGCTCCTGGACTCTGAGTCCTACTACCTGGGCCAGACCGGTGTGTCGTTGCCCGCCCACGCCCGGCAATCGCGAGGATTTCTCTAGCGGGCGTGTGTTAGGGCCACTGGGAACCGGTGCTGCAGGGGGCTGTGCGAGAGGCGGTGCCTTCGCTTCCGGTTCCGGTCTCGGCTTGGCTCCTGCTCCGGCTCTGGGAGGGCGGGGGAGATGCTGCGGGCGCCCAGAGGGCTGGCCGGGGCCGCATTCCTGAAACTCGCGTTTGCGGCGCGCACGATGGCTGGAGGTACCTGCAGGGGAGACCTGGAATCTCGTATAGGCTGCGCGTGGAGACCCCCGGTGGAGGTGCACGCGGAGGGAGGCGCAAAGGGGCGTGGCGGAGGGCGTCCTCGCTCATCCCCCGCCGGGTAGGGGCGCGGCCAGGTGAGGGGGTGCCGCGGCAGCCGGGCCTTGCAGTCCTGCTCCCCTCAAGGCTCTCGTGCCCCCTGCCTCAGAGCCCACGGTCTTGCTCCCTGAACTCCGTTCGCTCCTGGCCTCGGGCCGGGCCCGGCTCATCGACGTGAGATCTCGGGAGGAGGCGGCAGCTGGCACCATCCCTGGGGCGCTCAACATCCCGGGTATGGGATTGAGAGGGGAAGCCCTGGTGGTGGAGTAGAGAGGCCGTCCAGGAGAGTCGCAGCCCATGGGACCTCACTTAGGATGGTGTGGGGAAGGCACTGGTTACAGGGCTTCAGTATTCCGGTAGCTCCCCAAACTTCCCTTAAGAAAGGTTGATTGGAGGCGGATCCTGGCCGCGGAACTGGCCCTTCAAGTTTGAGGGGATAACAGGCGACATGGAAGTGGCAGGCCAGCTTCTGTACACGCTCGATCTCCCCAAGGCTGAATGCCTGAGTTTGCCCGCTCCTCACAAACTAGGGAAGTGGCTTCCCTTCAAAGGTTGTGTGGCTGACTTCCTGTGCAGGTAGGCTGTATCTTGTCCTTGAGGTTGGGGGGGGGGGTGGTCACCGTGTGTCGTTTTGGGGCCCCCTGGAGATTTGTTCGACCGCAGGACCAGTCCTTCCAGGCCCAGCCTCAGAGCCTGAGGTTGCCAAACTGCCGGCTTTCCATTCTGTCCTCTCGACTCCTCCTGCCAGTGTCAGAGTTGGAAACTGCCCTGAAGATGGAGCCAGCTGCTTTCAAGGCTTTGTACTCCACCGAGAAACCAAAGCTGGAAGATGAGAACCTCATTTTCTTCTGTCAGAAGGGCAGGCGGGGCTTTCAGGCCACACAGTTGGCCCGGGGCCTTGGATACAAAGGGTATGGGGATGGTGTGAATTGCTAGCTGGGGCGTGACTGGGGACTGCCTCCTGGGCACTGCTTCCTGGGCTTGTCCTTCCCTCACCCCTCTTTCTCTCCACAGGGCTCGGAACTACGAAGGGGCCTATAGTGAATGGTTCCAGAAGGAAGGTTAGGTAGAAGGTGGCTTATTGAATGCTCCCTCCACCCACCCATGGCCTCCTTCACTAAGAGTGATGAAGGGGCTGACTTGCTGGGTTGGGCAACTTCTTACAGTGCTGTGCACCAAAAGCAACAAATAAAGAGCAGTTCATTAAAGTATTGGAAGCAATTTGTCAGGTGGACTGAAAACAGTTCTAATCTTCATCTAGACTTCATTTCAGCCCTAGGTTCTTCTTCCAGCATTCATCTGCTCCTGCACCCTCACACACCAAAACCAAAACAAAAATGAAAACACCCAGCAGTTTGCTGAGAGACTATAGTTCAGAACCACCTGGCAGTTTGTTTATTTATTTATTGGCCGCGTTGGGTCTTGGCTGCTGCGCGCCGGCTTTTCTCTAGTTGCCATGAGTGGGGGCTACTCTTCATTGTGGTGCGTGGGCTTCTTACTGCAGTGGCTTCTCTTGTTGCGGAGCGCGGGATTTAGGCGCGTGAGCCCAGTAGTTGTGGCACATGGGCTTAGTAGCTCCGCAGCATGTGGGATCTTCCTGGACCAGGGCTCGAACCGGTGTCCCCTGCATTGGCAGGTGGATTCTTAACCACTGCACCACCAGGGAAGTCCCCACCCGGTAGTTAAAAAAAAAAAAAAGTCTTGGGCCCCATCTCAGATTTGGAGTCTCGGCAGTGGGACCTGGGCATTAGTGGTTTTACAAGCCCCTCAAATGATTCTGATGTGAAGTCAGGAGCCAGAACCACTGCTCTAGACCAGAGATCAGCAAACTATGGCCCCATTTCGTCTTGCTGCCATGACCATTGGCTTACATATTGTCTATGGCTACTTCTGGCTAAAATGGCAGAATAGTTGTAACAGAGACTGTATGTTCTTCGAAGCCTAACATTTTTTTTTTTTTTTTTTTTTTGCTGTACGCGGGCCTCTCACCGCTGTGGCCTCTCCCGTTGCGGAGCACAGGCTCCGGACGCGCAGGCCCAGCGGCCATGGCTCACGGGCCCAGCCACTCTGCGGCATGTGGGATCTTCCCGGACCGGGGCACGAACCCGCGTCCCCCGCATCGGCAGGCGGACCCTCCACCACTGCGCCACCAGGGAAGCCCGAAGCCTAACATTTTTACTATCTAGTCCTTTATAGAAAAAATTTGCCCACGCTTGCTCTAGATCTTCAGGTCCCCAGCCCCAACCTCACTTCTCTCAGACTTTGTCACTGGATTGAGAAAATGAAAGGGCTCTCCCAGGCAGTCGCGTGAAGGAATGGATGCCACTCTTAAATCCTACACTTGTGTCAAACACAGATTACAGGTATGAGGAGTTCCTCCTGTGCCAGCAGAAAGAGGTCCCAGTTTTTAGCAACACTGTTCTCTGATCCCACAGTGGATTTAACAAAATTTAACTGGTAAAAAAAGAAAAGAAAAAGCACATGTTTACTGAGATAAAATGCAACACTATACAGTAGGTATGTAACTTCCCTCTAGCATAGTTCATGGTTTAAAGCAGCAGTTCCCAACCTTTTTGGCACTAGGGACTGGTTTCGTGGAAGACAGTTTTTCCACGGACCAGGGGCGGGGCTGAGATGATTTTGGGATAATTTACGCACATTACATTTATTGTGCACTTTGTTTCTATCATTGTTACATTGTAATATATAATGAAATAATTCTGCAACTCACCATAATGCTGACAGGGGGCGGCGCTCAGGCGGTGATGCGAGTGACGGTGAGCGGCTGTAAATACAGATGATCTTCACTCACTTGCTCGCCTGCCGCTCACCTCCTGCTGTGTGGCCTGGTTCCTAACAGGCTACGGACCGGTATTGGTCCGTGGTCCGGGGGTTGGGGACCGCTGGTTTAATGCATATGGTTCCAGACCTTTTAAATATATATATATATTTTTTTGCGGTACGCGGGCCTCTCACTGTTGTGGCGTCTCCCGTTGCGGAGCACAGGCTCCGGACGCGCAGGCTCAGCGGCCATGGCTCACGGGCTCGGCCGCTCCGCCGCATGTGGGATCTTCCCGGTCCCGGGCACGAACCCGTGTTCCCTGCATCGGCAGGCGGACTCTCAACCACTGCGCCACCAGGGAAGCCCCCCCCTTCTAAATATTTTAATGGCAGAGTTTTGACTTCTTAAATTTGATTTACAAAAGTTTTATTCCTTTTTTTGTGGAAGAAAAGGTTGAATCAGAGATGGACCCAATTTTCTGATTTTTCAAGTTTCTGGAGAAATTCCTTCAGACATTTCCTGTATTCCTTGCCTTTCTCTCACCTTTTCCCCTTCTGCCTTTCGGGGGACTGAACCCAGCCCTCATACATCTTTTATCTCACAGTCTACACTGCACACTGTACAAAATCTTCCATTCGTCTGAGCTCTCCACCTCCTTTCACAGACCTATTTCACTCTCTCCCTGAAATAGTCACAATACTGTTAAAATACCGAGCTTAGATGGACATTGTTGGATCGGAGATGAAGTTGAAATATGTGAAAGAGTGTAGTCTAGGGTCTGGCAAATAATAGGTATCAGTTACTCTTTCCCCAAATACCCAAATTCTTTTGGTTCTCAGACTAGTTGGGAAATTTTTCATGGGATCTAATTTCCTTCTTTGAGTCTTTTTTTTTTTTTTAACATCTTTATTGGAGTATAATTGCTTTACAATGGTGTGTTAGTTTCTGCTTTTTAACAAAGTGAATCAGTTATACATATGTTCCCATATCTCTTCCCTCTTGCGTCTCCCTCCCTCCCACCCTCCCTATCCCACCCCTCCAGGTGGTCACAAAGCACCGAGCTGATATCCCTGTGCTATGCAGCTGCTTCCCACTAGCTATCTACCTTACGTTTGGTAGTGTATATATGTCCATGCCTCTCTCTCGCTTTGTCACAGCTTCTCCTTCCCCTTCCCCATATCCTCAAGTCCATTCCCTCTTTGAGTCTTAACTTTCTTTTTTCCCTCCTCAAGTTTTGTAATTTGATTTCTTTTTTTATTGAGGCATAATTTACCTACAATAAAATGCACTGGTTTTTTGTTTTTTGGTCACACGGCATGTGGGATATTAGTTCCCCGACCAGGGATTGAACCCATGCCCCTTGTAGTGGAAGCATAGAGTCCCAACCACTGCACCGCCAGAGAATTCCCTAAAATGCACTGTTCTTAAGTGTTCTGTTCATTGAGTTTTGACAATCGTATGCTTACAGGTAACAAGCATCTTAAGCAAGATACAGAACACCAAAATCCCCCAAATTTCTCTAGGGTGCTTTTCCGGTCAATTCCATTCCTAATCTCTTTCTAGGCAACCATTTTCTATCTTCTAACTAGAAAACTAGTTTTCTAGCTTCCTTCCTGGCCTGCTAACCTACGCTACTTGCTTTCTTCAGTTTAGCTGATGAGGGTTAGAGAGGATCCTGGAAGTAAACTGAGCTGGCCCACTACATGACCACGCCCTCTGGCTTGATCATTGTTAAGAGAACATTCCTCTTTCTCCCTCATTGACTATATGGTTCATAATCTTGATAGGCTGTGCCAAGCCATTACCTTGCCCTTTAACATTCTCTTTCCCTTTCCTCATAGCTAACTATTTCAGCAGGTGAGGCTGCAGAGCTAGAGCTTACCAGCTCTATGTCTTTCCCCTGCCTTCTCTCTTTCCATGCTACATCAGACTCCTCTCTTTCACCATATTTTATCTACCGTAGGTTTGTGTTGACTGTGTCATCATATCTAGTACATTATGTTTTTTGTTGTTTATCTCTCTCAGTTGATTGTGGACTCCTCAAAGGAAGAAACTGGCTTTCATTTCCTCACCTCCAGTGCCTGGGATCTGAGTTCTCAGTAGGTGTTTGTTGAGCATAACTGGCCTCCCCACTTTCAGAATCTTCTAATGTCAGTCTTTCTGAAACATCGCTGCCTGCGCAATCTTAAAATAACATTTTAATCTTATCAGTCAGAGTTGATAATTTACAATAGGTCCTTGTTGCCTAGTGGCTCAAGCACACGTCCTGGCCTGGCATTTCGAGCAGTCTCTAGTCTGGGTCTGGCAACACCCTGCCTTTTCAAACATATCTTTCAGTGCCAGCTCCCATCAGGCTAGTTTCTTTAGTGGCCCCAAAGTAGACCCTACTCCTTTCTGACCCTGCCTTTACTCAACATTTACCCTGTTTGGGAAGCTGCCAGCCTCTTTTGTGCCACACTCAATTTCACAAAAATTAGAAGAATGTATTTGGCAGGATGCTTGCGGTCTTCATCTAGAGGGCTTGTAAACTGAAGGAAAAGGGAGAAAAATAACCAGATGAGATGGTATAACTGATCCATGAAGGACAGAAGAAACAGGAGAATGGTGGATAAGGCACACACCTCTATGTAGCACTTAACACACTGTATTATAAATTATGTCGTTCTTCCCCTTTGGACTGAACTCTTTAAGGGGAGGGACTGTTTATCTTATTTTTGTATGGCCAACAATGAAACCAGAACCTGGCATAAAGGAGGTACTCAATAGATGTTGAATTTTTATTGCGGTGTTTAATAATTCCCAGGGGGGAAAATGCAAGGGGAGAAAGTTGGGAATAATACTCACGAATGGTATCATGGCATGTTATTATGTAAAGAGCAAAGGCTATGAATCAGAGTTCTGAGTTCCAGTTCTGACTCAGCACTACTTAGTGGTCACTGCAAGTTACTTTTTAACTATTCCACTTTTCACTTTCCTTATCTATAAAATGGGGGTTAAAAGACTATCTCTTTGGATGGTTGTGAAAGTTTACTGGGATAACATATGTAAAGTGCCTGTCATTTAAAACATGTGGATTTAGAGATGTACATATGAGTAAACACAAGAAGATAAATAATAGATATCATTGAAACTTGATGGAAGGGAACTTATGACTGGTAGTGGAAAAGTGGTTTTTTAAAAATATTATTTATGTTAACTTACAAGGGGGTTGTTTTGTTTATTTATTAGGCCGCGTCAGGTCTTAGTTGCAGCATGTGGGCTCTTTCATGGTGGCATGCTGGCTCTTTGTTGCAGTGCACGGGCTTCTCTCTAGTTGTGGTGCACGGGCCCCAGAGAGCGTGGGTTCAGTAGTTGCGGCATGCAGGCTTAGTTGCCCTGTGGCATGTGGGAACTTAGTTCCCCTACCAGGGATCCAACCCGTGTCGCCTG